GTTTATTCCTGCAGAAGTTAACTTCTCAGCTTATGCAAAGGAGCTGATGAGACTATTTGATTTCGAAGTACCTATTGGTATCAAGATGGATTGGGTTTCTATTCCGTACACGGGACAAGCAAAGTACAACAAACGGTCTCCTGGAATGACTAGTCCACATTGTTTCACTCGGAGGATTCATGCCAAGAGAGTTGATCACACTTTGAGGTCGATTCTCCACCCAGCAACTGCAAAACCTGACTTTCCATTCGCAGCACCGGCCACCTACATCAGTGATTGGAAGTCGGCGCAACAAGGATTGCTGAGTGTCAAGGCCTACGGTCCAGTGAAGGATGCGATCCTGACCTTGATCAGTAAGTTACAGGACTACTACATTTTGACGGAGGTTCTTTATCCAGGCATCGACTTCACCGGAATGTTCAACTTTGCTACTACACGGTACTGTAAAATATGTCATGTAGCGATAGACTTACTAGGAGGATGATAAAAGTAAAGGAAAGTTGATAGACGTTCGTAAAAGGAAATCTAGAAAGTTGTGATGATGTGTGTGGTCCATCACCGATTCTGTACGTTACTGCGTACAGACTATGCGTGCGTATCTAATAGCACGGTGACCTTTATTTGGTCCCCTCAAGCTAAGGATCAATGTGATCCATAGGTTGCTCAATAAACCCAAGAACCAAAAAGGTTTTCTCTCCTCATCTGTGTTAATCGCTTTGTAAATGCATCTGCAATATTGATTGCACCATCAATCCATGAAACTGCAATCACCCAAGCTGCCACATTCCAACGTGCATAATGATAAGCAATTGAATTGTGCTTTTTGTTCAACGTAGATTCTACCAGTGACAAGTATTTAACAACCGCTTCATTGTCCACTAACACCTGTGTTGGTTCCTCATCCAGTGGGATCCCAAACATACGCAACTTGTAGAGTAAATGCGTAATTGCTTCAATACATGATTTCAGAGCAATGAATTCAGCCCCAAAAGTGCTGGCCTTCACTGTATTCTGCCTCCGGCTGTGCCAAACAATAGGCGCCCTATTCAAGAAGATGACATAGCCGGTATGCGATCTATGAGTCTTCTTGTTTGCTGCATGCAAGGCATCAACGTATGCCAAGCTTCCCACTTGCCTACCTCTTGGGTTTGGCATGTTCGATGGCAATTGTTCCTCAGCATCTCTGTATAGAGTACGGAACTCTTTGTACGATGACTTGACTCAGGAAAAATCTGCGTTTGGGTTCTCCAATCAAAGTATAGAGTCATCTTTGGGTGTTGATCCAAGTAGGCAAAAATCCGCAACAATTGTTCCATGTGTCCTTCCCTTGGCCCTGCCTGGTATTGACTCAAAAGAGAAACTTCCAGTAGAATATCAACGCGTCCGATCTCCGTGGCCCACCTTAAGACCCCAATCAATTCTTGAAAGTATGTGTGGTCATGTGCGTTTAACTCACTTGAACCGTCTAGCTCTGGTGTATAATCGCTATTCATTGGAGTGACGGCTTTCTTTGGTAAGTTCCACCTCTGATTGTCTTTCAGGGTTGCTTTGACGTTCTTCACAGCAGCTGTAACATAGTCATAACTGGACATAGTCCACATGTGCTGACCGTCTAAAACCTTTCTTTTGACACCCGCTCCAAGGTAGCTTTCAGGCTGTTCAATCTTGTCCTTCTTGAACTTGAATTTGTAGCTTATCTGTTCCATAACATCTTTAGCGTTTTCAGACATGCACAAGATGTCATCCACATAACACAAAATATATTCGTAGTATTCTTCCCCGTCTGGTTTGATAGCTGCTCGCATCCAAACATCGGGATCGGCATATGATGAGTAAAATCCCAAGTTCTCCAATGTCTCTGCAAGGTGGGACCTGAATGCTAACGCAGCAGATTTCAAACCATATAATGCTCGCCTAACAATGAATGTTTTACCCTCCTCGTCTCCAAATTCTTGGCCCGCAATCATGTAACACTATTCAAGATTGGGTGCGGTGAGGAAAGCATTTTGAATGTCAGCGCACTGGACATTCAAACCATTCAATGCTGCAATGGTGAGTAATATTCGTACAGAATCTCGGGCTACCACAGTGCTGTATGTCAGTGCTGCTGGCGCTTCTGTTTTGTGTCCATCAGCGCTATATCGAGCCTTTTGTCGGAAGTTTTCACCAAGTTTGACATCAAATACCATGTGACCAGTGATGCGTTTGTATCCAATTAGCTTTTTGATGTCCCCGCCAAATTCCTCAAAGGCAACTTGATTGTTTTTCATTTCCATTTTGATGGCATCTTGCCACAAGGTGTCACCATTTTCTTGATCAATTTGAATAGCCTCCTTGACAGATTTTGGGATGCGGATACCGTATTTGTGGGTCCGTTCCCAATATTTTGATTTTACCTTACTTATAAAACGATCACGCTTTTTGTGTACATGTGGGACCCACCATGCGAATGCTGGTTCATCTTCAATAGCCTTTAACTTGGCATAATCTGCAACCTCAAGGGGAAAGGATTCTTTCATGTCTTTCAGTGTTACCCAATTGGATGATCCGTCCTTCCAGATCACATGAAGTTCCCAGCCAGCAGTTGTTTGGCGCTTTCGAGTCCGTCCACTAGGGAGGAGCATCGATCCTGCACTTTTTGTGATTGCCTTAGCGTTTTTACGGTGGTCCGAAATCTCCTCCATCAGCCGGTGCTTATGTCCGTGTTCGTTGACCTGTGCAAGTAAATTCTCAGCAAGTATATTGGCTGCGAATATTTCAGTACCGTCATCTGCATACTCCACTTCATATTGTCTTGTGTCGAGCAATTGGTTGGAGCTAGCGACGCCAATTGGTCTTCCATTTTCATCCACTATCCGTCGTTTCACCTTTGCCCTTTGGAGTTCGCCTTCTGCGCCTCGTCGTAAACCAATCTCCATGTTGGTGTAATCTTGGGCATCAAGGTCATCTGCAGCTTCTTCAGTCCCCTCAAAGTCGCCATCTTCCAGCGTCTCTGGGTTGATGAGCATACCAAAGTTGCGCATAAATTCGTCATCCTCGTCGTCAAAATCGAATATTATTTGATGAGGAATGTCTTCCTTCCCCCAGTTGATGTAAGTAGATTTAGCGTCAACAATCTTAGAGACATCAGCTGTCCAACATTGCATCTACTGTTTGACGGAATCAGTTACCATTTGGACAGTATCCACAGAAATGGGGATACCACTCTTTGGGAGAACCCAATATGTCATCATGGGTCCCACACGGTGCAAAACTCCAAGCCATCGTCCAATGTGGTTGACTCCCAAGCCGCCATCGCTGCAGAAGAACACCCAACCATATATCGTGAAATCCAGATATTCAGTGATTTCTGGCGTGATTCCAGTTATAATTTCTAAAGGTACCCGACCATCAGAGTACTTTGAATAATTGACAGTAACATTCATTGTGTCAACCACGTAGTCCAAGACAAAGTCCCAAAGGCGTTCAGGGATACCGTGTTTGATGATCAATCGATAATACCTCCGTTTTAACTCTCGAATTCCACCTTCCGCCGGGTTTTCTTTTGGAGTGTAAGGTTTGGAAATGTGATGGTCGATATTGCATCGACAAATTGTATCCATAAATGTAGTCTTCCGTCCAATCTGGACAGGTGCACCATCCATCGTAAGGTGATCCGGTATACCATATTTGGAAATAAACTTGTTCAAGGTTGGTCCAACTTGTGCATCATTAACTTTCTGCAAGTGGTGACAACAGTAAAACCCACATTTGTGAAAGTATACCTGGCTGGTAATGTTACCTCGAAGAGAAGTTTGTTTGAAGTAGGCAGTATCAGTAGAAAATTTCCCCTTCAATTGTGGAAGTTCAAACATCCAATTGGCTCAATATCTCCTTGCAAGTGGCATAATAGCTGATCTGGTCCCACGTTGCAGGGTTGCGTTTAATGTAGCTCTTGCTCGACCAATGCTGATTCCCAAGCGTTCAGAAAGATTCTCTGCGGTGACTTTGGAGTGCCGTTCAGTTGATACAAATGATGGCCGGACTGGAACATCTTGAAACCTATCAGCAGTTGCATTGATTTGTTGTACAACACACCATTGTTGTAAGTTGTGTTGCACAGGATCTAAACGGCGCATTTCAGAGTCATTTGATCGTGGATCTTCATAAGGAGTATTTCGTGGCGTTGAGAGTTTCCCAAGTTGCACAGTTGACGGCTCCCATGGCACTTTACTTGTGAGCTCAATATGATGGCACGTTTCAAGTTCCTTCTTAGTGGGAGCACGTGTGCCAAAGAGTAGCTTGGTGCCCCTTGATCGTAGTGGTATGAACAAGTCCGTAGCTTCAATCCCAATTTCATGCATATCATCATATGGGTTGTCCCAAAGAGGAGTACCGTAACTTCGAATCTGATTTGGGTTGAACAAGGAGTGGTCCAACTTGTTTCCATAGTAGAGCGCTTCGTTTATGATCAAAATAAAAGTAGAACCAGTTTCTGGACAATCATATGCTGTCGCCCCTGAAACAATTGGAACATGAGTTGGCGGTAGACTGGAATCATAGGCGTATACATCGGCCGAGCGTTGTGTGTAAGCAGTAATAATGAAATTGCTACCCAAGCAACAAGTGTCAGCGTTTGTGTCCATTTCATTGTCGGCGTAAGTGCCAGCCACAGGTTCTTGGACACCAAGTCTTTGCGTTGCTGAGTATTTGGAGATGACACGAACAATCCGTGAAACTTGGCTGATGCTGCGGCTGACAGGTAGTTGTCAGATATTACTCCCACTCCCTCCATTTTGGCGCTGTTGGGCTTGTTGTAGACATCCTCCAATAATGGAGCGCCTGTTGGTGCCAGTAGTGACTTGTGTGCAAGTATACTGACAGAAAGATAGAGTTATTTCTTTCTTTATAATCAGTTTTATTGTTATTACATTTAATCGCAAGAGTATCAGTTGTCTTAGGCATCTTTTACGGTGGATTGTTTGAGCTTAGCCGACAATTTCACAAGTTTTCCAGTCCTCCAGCCTTTTCGACAACAACAACAGCAACAAGAATGCCCAGTCAATCTTTCCTCTCCAAGAAATTTGCCGTAGGTGAATTTTTGAACCTCCGCGATTCGATTACGAATCTCCCCTATGAAGGGAAACTCAACTATCATCTCGCTCTTGACAACAAGTGTCCAACTCTCAAGAACCTCCAAAGTTCTTATGGATTTCCCGTCGAGCGGCTCTCCGAAGGCAAGCCCCTCTACAGAGTAACATGCCCTGAGGATTTCCGGCCAGCAAGAGAGCGATATGCAGAGTTAGATGCGGAATTCAAGAGATGGAATGACCCAAGTTTGACTTACCATCAGCGTCTGATGCTTGGTGAAACCAAACCACCAGGATTTGCGCTAGTTGTTCGGAAAGGGGCGGACGGAGAGCCTTGTCACCTATGCTTCATCTCTGCTCCGGTAATGACAAAACCGAATACGAGAGCAGACAGTGGTTTCGGTGCACCATTGTTGGCTGATATTTTTGAAGCCACCGTGACGAACCACTTGAAGTGTCCTCGGCCAGTTGATGAACCGAATCACTTGATGTTGGGTTCCCTGTGTGGTTAGGGTTAGGGTTAGGGTTAGGGTTAGGGCACATCCCAAAGCCAAAGGAAAACCTGGAATTGGAATGCCCTCCTGTTTTCTATCAGTTTGCATTTAACCGGTTTTTGCGACATTTGTTGCGCATGCGAGTTACGCGACCGAACAGTCCCATTCTGGTTCATGCTGATGACATTGAAGCTGCTTTTCGACGTGTATTGTACCATCCTGATGTTGCTGTGGCATTCGCTTATGTATATTCCGACTATCTGATTGTCCCGGTGGGTCAAGTTTTTGGTTCACGCAATGCACCGTCCTTCTATTGCGTCTTGGCCGATTTGCGTGAAGTTCTTTCTGCATGTCGGGAGGATGTGCCTGTTGAAGCTTTACACAGTCTGGTACAAGAATGTGATTTGGAAGTGCACCAAGAATCATCTTTGATGACTGTCCCATCTGATTCCCATTATCCTCCTCTCTCTACTGACGAATTGTCACGGATGTACAATGCCAGTTATGTGGATGACAATGCGGTGGCAGCGTTTCTTGATGCAATTGAACACTCCTCCTACTTAACAATCATCGCTTCCTTTCTTCTGGTTCTCCTTTCTTCTTCTTCTTTCTTTGGTTTCTTCTTTCTTTGTTCTTCTTGACTTCGTGTCCTCTCTGGAGTTTCGTGTGTTGTGGTGGTTGGTGGATTACTCCTTTCTCATCCACTTGTGGCAGACAAGCAAGTCTCAGATTTCACGTCTTACGGGAAATCTGAGACTGGTCCTTTGAGTCGCACGCTTCGCGCGCAACTTAAAAGGACCAGCGCCCGTCAGTACACAGTACTGACCGGTCAACTACGATATCAAGTCAGCTCCTTTGAAAGCGAACTCTTTCAAGGATCTCATCCTTGATTCGGACAAACCGACTCCGAGACGTAGTCCACGCCATAAGGCTAGGAAGACACCTCATGGGGAGTCGGACCGTCCTCCACCGCCAAGAGTACATTTCAATGATGCCCTAACTGACGCACCATTGGTCTACAACATGGCAGGTCCTAAGACCACAGCGTCAACGCGATTGGGAAAAGCTACCGCAATAGTTTGCATGGTTGCCTATCCTAGTAATTCAGAAAACTTTTGACTGTACTACTGAGTTTGCTAGAATCCCAATGAGTGCTCATTTGCAGCGACACTTCCGTTTGCCTTTTCCAGCACTCAATGTCCACCGTTGTGACGAACCCGTCGCCACTGACACCGTATTCGCGGACATGGATGCCTCAAACTGGTTCAACAGCACTGGACTCACCTCCGTATGGTAAATGGCCATGACAGCCGTTAACGGCAATCTAGAAACTTGAGATAGTTTTAATACAATTAATGCATCAGTTATGTATATATATGACGCAAAGTCTTGTTTTGATTGGGTCGTCCATTGGGTTGCGGTGATAGCTATGATGCGTCTGGCGATTACTTGGAATGCGTTGTGTATGATGTTTGACACTCTAGCAACGTCCACGCACCGAGTGCGGACGGGCTTTGGTGACTCTGAAGAGAGCTTTCATCCCCCTTCCATTGTACTATTTCAGGGTTGCGGCCAGGGCAACGGAGCGGGCCCGCCCATTTGGGTTTCGGTTAGCTCCGTCATCATCCAGATGATGACCGCGATGGGCTATTAACCCAGAAAAGTCCTTCTGGTGGTTGATTGACTTTGTGTGGGACTCCAGAGAGGGCAAATGGCGGTTCCGCCGGACGCACCAACTTCTGCCGGATCATAACCTACAAATACTGGGTCTGACTGGCCAATTGGAAGCCTTACGCCGTCTGGAGCCGGATGAGGCAGAGAAAACCTTGGGGGTCATGTTGGCCCCATTGGAAGACCAACAGGCACACGTCCCCCACCTCAAGAGTATTGCTAAAAAGTGGGCTGAGCAAGTGCGATCGGGGCATCTACACAAATACGATGTCATTCCCCTTATCAAGACAACAGTGATGAAATCCTTGGAATATCCTATGGTGTTAACTATACTGGATGCTGCGACATGGGTGTCAATTATGAGACCCGTTCTCCCAGTCTGCCTGCCAAAGGCCAGCATATGCAGGAGCTTCCCTCGTGACATGGTTCTTGCCCCTCTCAAATTCCAGGGTCTGGGCATCCCCCATCCGTTTGGTACTCAGGTGTCTAAACATATTGAGGTCCTGCTCCGCCACTTGTCCAACCGAAAAAAAACTGGGGCGTATATGGAGGCTGAGACCGGCACCTCCTTCGGACTCTTCCAGCAGGACTATAGCAACACGGGAATTTGGGCGTCAGATACTTGGCTCAAAAGAGTCTGGAAAGAGTTGGAAGACTTGGATATCTACGTTGCTCTTGACTCTCCTGTCCTCCCTCTCCGGTGCGAAGGCGATGCGTTGCTCATTGAGGTATTGATGGAGTTGGAAGTGGATCAGGACACTCTGAAGTGGCTCAACTGGTGCCGTATGTTCCTCCAAGTTTGCACTGTCTCCGACATCGTGACGGCCGATGGCCGCAGCATCCAAGAGTCCATGTGGCATGGGGAACGTGACTATGCTCATCGTTCTTCATATCAATGGCCTCGCACTGTCCGGCCCCACAGGAACCACTGGAGGGTGTGGCAGGAGCACCTTACTCTCGCACTACTTGTCTCTGACGGACACCAGCGCCTACTGCGTCATTTTCTGGGCCCATGGTTTGATCCTCTCGACAACTGGAACTGGTTATGGTCTTCTACCCAAGGATTGTTCCACTGCCAGGGCCACGGTTGGCAACACTACCGTCACTGTTGCTCCTTCACACGGAGCATTCAATGGGACTATACTCGTTCTGCGCAATTGTCCGGGCGCAAACGACCACATAACGAGCCTACCGACGACGGCGTCAGCTTCTTGCCGGCCCCCTTTTGGACCCAACCACTCCCAGCCGACGTGTGCCGAGCTACCGTCCACATCACGCCTTCGCTAGGTACTCTAGCCCTCACTGGCATTGGGACAGCACCGCTGCAGCCGCACCACTACTCTCCACCGTCCTTACTGGCCGCCTGAATGGCCGCCTCAGCCGAGGTGACCAAGTACGTTGGCTGACGAAAGCCTCCTTGCTGAAGCCCTACTCGAAGACCGGCTGTGTGTGATCAGCGACGGTTCTTATAAGGTCGGTCTGGGCACGGCAGCAGTTCAACTGCTTCCACGTAAGGGTGGCAAGGAACGTATTATTGTTTGGTGCCAGACTCCGGGTCTACCTGATGACCAGAGCGCGTACCGGAGTGAATTGATTGGCCTACTGGCCGGTATCATGGTTGTTGATTGGCTCCTGGACCAGTGGGCCCCAACACTTCGATCACCACCCCGCGTCAGGATTGCGTGCGATGGATTTTTGGTGTTGCTCAACACCTTTAGTGACAATCGAGTCACACCACAACAAGCCCAGTTTGACCTGGTCTCCTCTATCCGGGAGGCACTTGCCCGCTCCAGGGCCTCGTGGGAACCTAGCCACGTGTACGGTCACCTTGATAAGGCGACATCCTTTTTGTGCCTCTCTTGGTGGTCCAAACGGAACGTGGAAGTGGACGCGTGGGCGGTTGCTTATCGCCACCAGCTTGAAGCTTCTCACCAACTGATTGCACCCAACGCTCGTTTCTTTACCGAATTGGCTGCCCTCTACATCGGTGACGTCAAACAGTCGCGATTGAATCCAGAACATTTCCAGGAACTGGTGGCGCTGCCTGCTCTCCGCAAGCGATGGCACGAGCGGCAGACGATTACACCAGAGGCAGAGCTGGAGACCGATTGGACCAGTCTGGCTCGCGCCATGATCTCCCTTCCGGTAGGTGTCCAACGCTGGACTACAAAGCATATTGTGGGTATGTGTGGTGTGGGGAAGTTCAAAGTCCGGTGGGGTTCCGCAGACTCAGCTGCGTGCCCCTGCTGCGGCGAGTTCGAGGACCACCTTCATGTTCCTCGATGTATGGCGCCCTCGGCAAGTGCGGAATGGGAGCGCCGGACGGCGACCTTGGACCAATGGCTGGACGCTCAAGTCACTGACCCAGCCATCAAACACGCTATCCTTCATCTTCTTCAAGGAGTTCGTGATTCGTCCCTACCTTGCAGTCGGTTGGTCCCGGTTCGTCTTCGCCGCGCTTTCCTCTCCCAACAACGCATCGGCTACCAAGGTTTATTGGAAGGCCGGCTGTCTGTTCAGTGGGCGGCCCTGCAGGAACAGTACCTTCAGTCACGAGGGAGCCAAC